ATATACGACAGGTCTGGACCACTCGTGAATTTTGTTCGTATCTGAAAAAAATCTTAGAATACGAAAACATTGGTGAATGCCACAAATTCTCCTAAACCACTCGTACGCAAAACTTAAGAACAAATACGTGCGTGCGAACGGTTCTTGCATGAGGCCCATTGTTCTTGGGCAAGGACAGATGAGTGAAAGGACCGGGGCACTTCAGGGGGCCAATCAGATTTCATATGGGGCCAATGCCCCTGTGGCCCCGCCCCTAGAACCGCCCCTGCCCCTCTAAGAATATTGTGGTCCCTTGATGGCCCTTTACTTAGAAAAATCCTAAATCTGCCACTGGACAATTGTTAAAACTGTACAGTACAAATCTGTAGATTTATGGAAGAGAGGCAAGAAGACAACAACTGAGAGAAAACTAAAAGAAGCCCCATTTACACTTTGACACAACTCATGTAGGACAAGCTGCTCTGCAAAAATCAAACCAAAACTGAAATGTAGCAGAAAACTCCACATCACCCTGAACACACCATCCCCACTGTAAAACATGGTGGTGGCAGCATCAAGATATGGGATGTTTTTGTTTCTGCAGGGACAGAGAAGCTGCTCATTGCTGAGGTGATCACAGAACTAAMCTGGAAACAAATCTGTTAGAGGTTAAACACTTAAACTGAGGTTCACCTTCCAGCAGGACAATGACTCTGCAGATCCAGACAGATCTACAATGCACTGGTCTGATGTTTACAGTAAAGTCACAGTAAAACACTTTAAAGTTTGTTGTTAAAATGTGACAAAATGTGGAAAGTAGACACTGTATATTTGAAACATGCTAATATTTTTGAAGTTACTGAAACTTCCCAGCAGAGGGCAGAACTAAGTGTTGTAATTAAGGTATTCCAGGGATGAGTGGACAATTATAACATCTAACATCTAAAGTTTTAAGGCAGCATCCTCCATATTACCTGCTGATAACAACCGTCAACAATTCAAAATTATTACTTTTAATAAGCTTGAGGTTTTTTTTTTACAAGATAGGTGAAAGCCTGGGAGCAGATGGATGGATGGATGGATGGATGGATGGATGGATGGATGGATGGATGGATGGATGGATGGATGGATGGATGGATGGATGGATGGATGGANCTGATATGCTGAATTTGAGATTTTCATTTGTTGTCATTTGTAATCATCAAAATTAAATGAAATAAACATTTGAAATATATGAGTTTGTATGTAATGTATGAATATAATATACAAGTTTCACTTTTTAAATGGAATTACTGAAATAATTTCATGATATTCTAATTTTATGACCAGCACCTGTATGACTACTTAATTCATATATTACAATATTTTTAAGGATCTATGCCAACAATTTACAAATCCTGAAATTCTGCCTTTTGTGTGGCACCCAGAGACTATCAGTGGTCTCTGGCCCCCGTAGACAACTTCCTGCTGGGTGTGACCTTCACTGTTTACAGTTTGTTTACATGGGAGGAAGAAGCTGCTCATGAACCACAGCTTCATCATAATCAGTCATATATTGGCTGATAAATGTGTTCCTGTGTTTAGTGGACAGATTTTACAAAGTGCAGATTTTAAACAGGTTCATGTTCATTCATGAAGCACAAGGTCAACTTCTGTTTGTGCAACAAATCAATGTCCATGTTCTTCTAAATGATCTAAACCCTGAAGATAAACCCTAAAAACATCACGGCACAGGAATGACAAATTGTTCATGTGTAAAACAACTCAGAGGAGCAAAAGGATTAAGTAAAAGTTAAAAAAGGCTACCTAATGCTAATTAAAAGCAAAAGGTAGCAAATTCAATGCAATTAAAAAAAATTTATTCATTTCATTAAAAAACAAAATAACTATACACAATATAAAACAAAGAAAATACACAAATCAAAATAAAATGAAAGGTAGCAGAAGAATAAATCTTATAATGTCTGCCCCTTTTATCCCCAGAATATATTCAAACAAAACACAATTTACAAAACAATACTAAATAAAAATAAAAACATCAACTCAAACAACAATTCATTAAGCTTCTTATTTTACTTCCCCATATACCTTCAGAAAACTAGCTTTAATCTGTTTCTTGAATATATACATAGATCTGGCATTTTTAAGATCATCCTCCAGACCGTTCCACAATCCTATACCCTGGATTAAACTATACCCTGGATTAAAGTACATATTTCTCTCAAGCAAGTACAAAAATATGGCTTCACAAACATTTCCATCCCCTTAAGATAATAACAACTGTCTCTCTTAACAAAGTTTACCTGAATGTTGGAAGGTAATATGTTTTTCTGTGAGCCAAACAGTAAAATACTATAAACTAGATCATAGAATTTCAAAATTTTCAGTTTGCAAAATAATATATTTGATGGATGGTTGTAATCTTTTCTAATGATAATTCTTATGGCTCTTTTCTGCAAAACAAAAATTGGATTTGTAATTGTTTTGCAAGCTTTACCCCAGACTTCTATACAGTAAAATTAAATGTGGAATGATTATTGAATTGTACAACACAAGCAGAGCTTTGTCATTGAATAACTCCCTGACTTTATACAGTACTCCGATATATTTAGATATTTTTGTTGAAATGATCTACTAAAAGCTAAGCATGTCAAAAAGCTAACTAAAATCTAAAAGAAGCAAAAACCATGCTAAAAGTAAAAGAAAACAGATTTTCTAAAAGCCAAACACAACCAAAGGCTATGGCTAAAATGTGTAACTTGAAGCCAAAAGTAGAAAAGGCTAGTTTCTTTTTATTTGTTTATTCGTTTCATTCAAAAGCGAAACAAACTGAAAGGCAGCAGAAAGAAGAAAAAAATCTTATAATATCTGCCCCTATTTTCAAAAAAAAAAAAAAACTATTTCAAACAATAATTATAAAAAATGTGGGTAAAAGTAACAAAATATGAACTAAACATATCCAATGACTCTAAAGCTGAAAGAAACAAAAGATTTGCTTAAAGCTAAAGGCAATCAAAGGCTACTTAAAGAAAGTAAAAGAATAACTAGAAACCAGAAGTAGCAAAAGGTTAGTTAAACTTTAAAAAATATCAAGGTTAGCTAAAAGCACAGTCTAGAATCTACAATTAGCAAAAAGATAGCTAAAAGTACCAAAATGTTAACTAAAAATATCCAAAGACTTGCTGAAAAAATATAGTAAAAGGAAAGGTAACATTTATTTATGTAGCACTTTTCAGCGGCAAGGTGATACAATGTGTTTTGCTAAAAGCAGCCAATGGCTAAAACTGGTAAAATGGTAGCTAAAAGTAAAAAAAAGTAGCTAAAAGTAAGTTAGCTAAAGGTAGCTAAATGCTAGCTAAAAGTAATAGTGTTAGCTTAAAGTATCCAAAGACTGACTAAAAGCTAAAAAATAGCAGGTTTTTTTTTTTTTGCTAAAAGCAGCCAAAATCTATCTTAAAGGCATATGGTGTGTAGGATTTGTTGTTTTCAGCGACATCTAGTGGTTGAGCGGTTGAATTATCCTCCCTGGTCCTTCTCCCACCCCCACCCCCCGCT